GCAGGATAGACCTTGAAGTGTTCTTTTTTTATAATGTATGTAATACCATCCTCTGTTCTTCTGTTTGTCATTGCTTGCATAATATACCATATGTTCAATTAAAAATGGCTAATCCCAGTCCATTTCAGCTCACTAATGCTTAGGCTATAGATCCCTATGTATTCTATTTCCTTTTTGACAACTTCTAATTTTCCTTGGGTCATACTTTGTACATTCCACATTTTAATTACAAGTGAATGTTTGCAGCTGTTTCTTTTGAATTTGGCCGCGTCAGCAAATGAAGGCCCCAGAACCTTAATGCCATCTACTTAGTGTTGCTGACCCAAAGGCAGGCAATTCAGATCCTCCAGCTGCTTGGTGGGAGGAAGATGGGCAGTCTCCTGATTTACAGATTCTGAAAACCCGCGCCAGGGTCAGCTATGAGTCTAGTCTGACTCAAGAGCACACAACAACAACAACTACTGTTACCACTATTACTGCTTTAATAAGGCAGCTCTTCTTCAGGCATAGTTTGATTGCCTTCTAACTTGTGGGCTTCATCCTGTAGCAGCTTTATCTTCCAGCACTGTATTAGGTGTTACTCCACTGGTATTCTTAAAGTTTTCCCTGGCTAGATATTTTTTCTTTTACTGTAGAATGCTGGGTTTTTCCTTCTTAGTCTGTCTTAGTATGGAACTGCTGTGGAAACCTGCCACAATGGGTGACCCTGCTGGTATTTTAAATACATGTGATACAGCTTCCAGCATCGCTGCGACATGCGAGCCAGCTTAGGACGGCAAAATGTGAGATGAGTTAGTGGATCTCATGATGGGTAACCATATTTTTAAAATTTCTTCCATTCTACTTATGTTTCTTTTTGAAAAAAAGTGTGTGTTTTATGTGAGATGTTAATTTGTTCATTAGCTAATTTAGAATTTGCAGACTGTCCTCCGGGTTTCTGCTAACTCATATGTAGCAACTGGTGGTGGTTGTTAAGGGCTGTCAAGGTGTAGACGACTCATAGTGACCCTGTGAATGAAAGACCAGAACCAGTTTTTTTTTTTTTCTTTTTTCTTTTTTTAATCTTATTATTTTTGTGTGCGTGTACCAGCAAATCAGATCTGACTGGTACAGGAGGAGATTTGCCCCTCCTTCCCCGGCAGAGCATCTGGTGGATTCGAACCGTGCACCTCTGGGATTGTAGTTGCAGCTTCTTGCCACTAGGCCACCAGAGCTCCCCTCAGAACCCGTTTTATAACTGTCATCGTTTCTCTAAGTTCATAGAGTTTCT